GAGGAAAGGGGAGAGGGAGGGGAGGAGAGGAAAGGGGAGAGGGAGGGAAGGAGAGGAAAGGGGTAAGAGAAGGGATGGGTGGGAAAGGATAGAAGAGAGAGGAGTGGGGAAGAGAAAGGGGAAGAGGAAGAGAGAGAGAAGGGGGAGAGGAAAAGAGGAAAGGAGAGAAGACGGGGGGGGGGGGGGAGAAAGGGGGAAAGAGGAGGAAAAGAGAAAGAAAGGAAGCTATTAAGGGCTTTATTGAGGACACTAGATAAAGACTATGGATATTAATAACAGATTAATGTGACATCTCCTTTTAGATTTATATTCTGGTTAATGTTCCCAGGGAAATACACAGTGAAGGACTTAAGAGCTAAAAGAAGCAAAGTATCACCAACCTGCCCTCAAATGTTTCAAAATAATGTAACATGCAAATATGTATTTCTAGAAAGAATGATACATTGAGTGGGGGCAGCACATCTGGTTAAAGGGAACAGGACAGATCTTGGAACTTGTTTCAAGTTTCCCACAGGTCTGAAATTACATCACAATTAAAAGTTACCAGAAAGTAACACAGCAGTAATGAATGGCACCGGCTTGTGACAAGCAGGTGTTATGAACAATTCATTCAACACCACAGATCTCAAAGTTGCTAAGGCCAGGTTCCTGGAAATAGCAGCAACCAGAGCCCCACAGCTTAAACATCTACCAGATGATATCCCAAAACTTAGCCACACTAAAATGTGGCCACTTCTCTGGGGGCCTTTTCCCCCCTATGTAACACAGACATGATTTCTCATACACACAATGGAGAATCATTGATGGATCATGAAGGGCAGTGACCAGGGACAAGATATTTGCCATTCTGAAGGGGTGGGATAGAAAGCCCAGGCTGACTAGAAACTGCCTGTCTCCTCTCTCTCTCCTATCAGACCCCCATCCTGGTCCCTCATCAGACATCTCACATGTCAAACAGTGCAGGTATCCGAAACGATGTCCTCCAAGAGTGTCTGATGATAAGATCTGGAAAGATTTCTTTCTTCTTTGTATTACTGTTTAAACTTTGTATAATAAATAGTCCCTAATGTTTAAAAAATAAAAGGAGTGCTTTTTTTTAAAAAAAAAAAAAACCTTAATTCTAACAAGTCAGTTTACTTTAACATTCCTTACCATCTCGATCTTGTGTAAAAAAGATAGATGATAGATAGATAGATAGATAGATAGATGATAGATAGATAGATGATAGATAGATAGATAGATAGATAGATAGATAGATAGATAGATAGATAGAAAAGAAAAAATATTTCCAAGTTCTCTCTCCTCATGAATAACCTTGAACTAATTATTTATCCAACAACTGGCCCTCTCTCAAGAACGAAGAGCAGGCTTTGCAGCCCATTTGGCCAGTCATCCAACCTTCATGCCACCCACGGTGGCAGTGACACAAGGAGACACTGTGGAGGGAGGATGGGGCAGGGGACAATGTGGGGAGACAGGCACCAGCACACACTTACAGAGGTAACTCTGTCAATAGGTTGCTCACCAGGAAGATGTCTGCGTAGCCAGCCAAGGACTCCACCCCCTCCTGGATCCTGGCGCCCCCGGAGTCATTGAGCCCGATCACTGGAGCCCCCACTGTTATGGCCTGGTCCATGATCTAAAACAGTAGAGAAAATCGTATGAGTTATCTGTTCTGGTTACCAAAAACAGCAATGACAAAACCCCTTGCTGCGCTAAGGAGATGGCTTATGTCTTGGTACACGTCACCAGACCAAGGGGACACAGCCTGTGCCCTGACAAGCTAAGTCCAGCTGCCCATCCTCAATAGCCCATTAAAGGACCCAAATGAATAGTGAAAAGCAGAAAAGGGAGATTTATTCAGTGTGGCCACATAGGGAAGAAGGACAAAGGTATTCAGATTCTACCCACCCTAAGTCCATCTTCAGGGGTCCTGGCAATACTACAGGGTATGCATCACTGAACAAACAGTCCAGCGAGATATGGCTCCCAACCCCCAAACCCCTGCCCAGCTCCTAGTCTTTCTCTAAGGCTATCTGATGATCTGTGAATCTTTCTCCACTATTATGGGATATCCACAAGAGAAGACTGCCTGGACATGGGTTTACGCCTACAGAAAGTCTTCATTAGCTGGCTGTCGACTATACTGGGTGTTCAGGATCCCAGTGTAGCCCTGAGCACAAAAAAAAACATGTTCTGGGTTGACACACTTCAGTTAACAAGAACATTTAGCCAGAAGCTGAACTACAAAAGCCAAAAAGCAAGATTAGTACATTTAGAGACTTTTCCAGTACTATGGACTTTGATAGATTAGGTCTGTTTTCATTTTTTGTCAGGTGGTGCAGTCTACGTGCTGAGTTTTACAACCTGAATGGCACTTCCATCATGGAATTAGTTGTGCTAAGATTTGAGGCCTGTTATTCCAGGAGACAAATTCTTCCCCTGGATGCCACCAGGGTTTTAGCCATTTCTTTCCCAGTTAGGACATTCATAGGAAGTTTACATTTCTTGCAGCCTATTCTTTAAACAGTCCAGTAGCCAAAGAGGGGCACAGGGTGTCTCCTTTTAATAGCAGCTCTTTAGCCTTCCTAACACTGTGACTTTTTAATACAGATCTTCATGTTGTGGTGACTTCCAACCATAAAATATTTCATTGCTACTTCATAACTGTAATTTTGCTACAGTTATAAATATAATATAAATATCTGATATACAGGATGTCGTCTATGTAACCCCTGGGAAACGGTCATTTGACACCAAAAGAAATCACAGCAGAACCTCTACTTTAGACCATCCATCCCCATCAGCCAGGCCAGTCACACAATTAATTAGCACACACGCCTGGTGAGACCCAAGTTAGATTGCCAAAAGCCCACTGTTAGGCAAGAACCAGCTTCCAAAGTTATCCCTACACACACATGCAAGCCAACACACACACCTCATACGCTTATTCATTTTCTGTCTGTCTCTCATATGAGTGTGTGAAAAAAAGCGTGGTGTTTTCTGGAAAACATTCTCCCTGCTCTTTTCCAAACAGAAAGTAGTCAATACCTTGAATTCAACCCTCACAATGCCTGAATACCTCATCGAAGATAAAGGACCAGCTACATAGCAAAGCCACAGGTTTTCCACTGTTAGAAGGTAAGAGGCGCCGGGCGGTGGTGGCGCACGCCTTTAATCCCAGCACTTGGGAGGCAGAGACAGGCGGATTTCTGAGTTTGAGGCCAGCCTGGTCTACAGAGTGAGTTCCAGGACAGCCAGGGCTACACAGAGAAACCCTGTCTCGAAAAACAAAAACAAAAAAAAAAAAAAAAAGATAAAAGGCTCAGAGTGCTCAGCTTGGGCTATAACTCTCTTCCGTGGCAAATATTCCCAGTGACTCCTAAGAAACAACTGGTGGCAGACAGATGGCACAGACGTCTGTTAATGAAGGTGCACACTGGTCCATATATTAACCTGAGGCCAGGCCCACTGCGACAGATTGTCCTCCTGGGTCAACAGTTCTGCCAGCTTCACATGCAACATCTCATAGATGGTCAGTGAAGCACATTTACTTCATTATGTCATGTAACCATGACAACCGAAGGGAAAACTGGGAACATTTAAAGGTAATTGGCTAGCCTGGCCATGAAGGTGCATGTCTTTAATCCCAGCACTTGGAAGGCAGAGGCAGGCAGATCTCTGAGTTCAGGGCCAGCCTGGTTTATGGAGCAAGTTCCAGGACAACCAGGGCTACACAAAGAAATCTTGTCTCAAAAAAACAAAAATAAAAATAAAGGGAATTGGGTAAAGGTCTCTAGAGTAACACATGTCTAAAATCCAGGTAGCTCCATTACAGAGGGAAACTTACCCAGCTATTAATAATTCAATATCACTTCCAAAATTCTCCAAACACTAGCAATGCCACCATTACTCTTCAGACTGTCTCAGTCTAGTATGCTGTATCTGGGGAGCTTTTCTTGTTTGGATGGCTGCTTGAGGTTCTGTTTGTGTTTGAGTTTCTTCTTCAGCAGAATTCAGAATTGACTCTAAGGTCTGCCCACATTAGGCACGTATCCTATCACAGAACTCTAAGCCCAGTTTGTTTTTAAACCTTCATGCAGGGGCTGAAGAGATAGCTTAGTGGTTAAAAGCATTTGTTCTTGCAAAAGACCCCAATTCAGTTCCTAGAATCCACAGGGCAGCACATAACCATCTGAATTCCAGTTCTAGGGGATGCAACACCCTCTTCTGGCTCTGCAGGCACCAGGCACACACAGTACACAGACATACATATAGGCAAAAATAAGCAAATCCATTTTATAAAAGAAAATACTACTGTTATATCATACAATCTTTGTGCTGCTCTTTATATTTTAGTGCCTGGACTCTCTGCCTACGTTTTTTCTTGGGATTCCCAGAATCTCAAGGTGGCTGTGAATGCATATATGATCTACAAACTTGGGTTATAAAAAGTTTACATTTTCACCTGTAGGAACTCTAGACAGTGTCCGACGCTTCCTTTACTTATGAACTCACACCTGTGCCTTTGCCATTATTAGAAACCAGAAGCTTCTGCTACATTAAAATTGCTGAGCTCCAGAAATGTTTTCACTTGAGCCTTGTTTCAATTATACCAGTTAAAAGATTCACTGCTAAGTCTTGCTATTTAACGCACTAATAAGTACATATATTACTGAGCCAGACATAGTGGTACACACCTTAAATCCCAGCACTCTGGAGGCAGACAGGTGGACTGAAGTGGGTTTGGCCTAATGCTGCAAGTGTTATAATGTTAATTTTGGTCCTCAGACCCTGCCCTCAGTTGGCTCTGATTGGTAAATAAAGATGCCAGCCTGTCCTATGGCAGGACAAACAGAGGTGAGAGTTTTAGGATTCCCAGGCTGGGGAGAGAGAAGAGAGGAAGAAGAGAATCACCATGAGAGGAGCGTAGGACAGGCTAGCCATGTAAGAATTCAAGTCAGTGGCTCTAGGAGCCGCTTCCCCGACTGGGTCTGGAGCAGCAGAGATGAAATATAGATTTTAAAGGATGTTAACTCTGGAATCCTTGGGAAGGATTAGAAGCGCTAGCAAAGGCATATCAAAATTAACTGGCATGTGTGTGTGTGTGTTTGTGTGTGTGTGTGTGTCTGTCTGTCTGTCTGTCTGTCTTTCACTCACGAATCCAGAGAACTCCTGGGTGGGTGCAGCTTGTACACTACCCACCAGAAGCTATAGCACAGTTTGCAGCTACAATGTACTCTGGGTTTGAGGCCAGCTTGGTTTACAGAGCAAGTTCCAGAGCAGCCAGGACTACATAAAGAAATGCTTTCTTAAAATTTTAACAACAACAACAACAACATATATTATAGATGTGTTTTTGAATGCTTTCACTCCTCACGGACAGAGGCCAAGGAGAATGTTGAGTATCCTCCTCTATTACCCTTAATCTTTTGAGACAGGGTCTCTCGATGAACCCAGAGCTCACTGTTGTAGCTATGCTGGCACCAGCAAACTTCCAGGATCTGCCTATTCCCTAAAAGCTGGGGTTACAAGCACATGTGGTCACACTTGACTTTTATGTAAGAACTGGGGATTGGAACTCAGATCCTTCTGTTTTCACCACAAGTACTCACACCCACTGTACCGTCTCTCCAGTCCTCAGGCCTTGTAATCTTAGGTGTCATTATGTGCATGGAGAAATGTGGGGGTTGTCAGGAGGACAGGCTCACCCATATAATCCCAGCACTGGAGCAGAGGAAGGCAGGGAACTAAGGGAAGATGGGAAGAGGAGGGGGAAGAGAACAGAATGGATAGAAAGAATGTGGGTGTAGACCTTACCAGGGTCACGCAGACAGTACAAGAATACTTTAAGAAATGAGCTGAGAGCCCCATCTGGTCCAGTACCGCGTCTTGTACAGATCTGTTCCAGCTCCACTCACTGCACACTTAGAATACTCAGTGTGTGTCACACAAACTGGTGGAAGCACTGGGTTTCTTTTCAATAGTAAACACTTACTTTGCAGATCTTTTGAGCATGTGCTCCTGACAGACTGCCTCCAAAAACTGTAAAATCCTGAAAGAAGAACAATTAAAGCAGCAAGTAAACCATAATAACAAGGCAGAGCCGAAGACCCAATGGGAAGAAGTGGGAACCCACACTGGTAAAGGCGAGTCGGATGATCAAAAAATAGAATTCATAGATTATTCCCCAAGTTAGTTAATAAAATATCTTAAAGGGAGTTCGTGTAGTATTGGGGTTCAAAGACTTAGTCTTTGTTCTACCAAATGACTCAGAGCTCTGAGGCAGTAGCTCAAGTGGGATTAACCCTGTTAGATTCTACCAGTGTCAGACAAACACTGTCACTTCTAGGAAGTAAGGATTCTGAAAAAGGAGGAGGAAAATGAAAGGCAACTGGAGTCCCCAGCCCCTCCCAATCCCTGTTTCTGAAAACTTCACACCAGGGGTGTCTTCTAAGCATGAAGATGATAACAGCAGGCTAGCCCAGAGATAGCAGCAAGATAGTCCAGGGATAGCAGCAGGTTAGTCCAGGGATAACAGCAGACTAGCCCAGGGGAAATGGAGTCACAAGGATACCACATGACTGGGAGGAAAGAAGAAAGAAAGAAGGGAAGGAGGGAGAGAGGGAAGGAGGGAGGGAGGGAGAG